TACCCCCTGAATGTTCCGACTCTGCCCAAAATCTAATCAGTTCACCGCAGGCAGGAATAAAGCTTAAGTTTAAAATTTTGTGTTTTCTTTGTATCAGTTCATGAGTTATTGTGGAAACACACACCCACACCCACGCACGCACGCAAGCATCCACGCACGCACGCACCCACGCACGCACCCAGTCAAGCACGCACGCAAGCACGCACGCGCGCGCACACACACACACTCACACACACTCACACACACACACACACACACACACACACACACACACACACACACACACACACACACACACACACACACACACACACACACGCACGCACCCAGTCAAGCACGCACGCAAGCACGCACGCAAGCACGCACGCAGGCAAGCACGCACGCGCGCACACACACACACACACACACACACACACACACACAAACACACATCATCGTGAAAATAGTCAAAACGAATTCAGGGGATCTCAAAACGTAAAAAACCGTCGAAAATTCGAGGTCGAAAACTCGAGAGTCGAGGTCGAAAACTCGAGGTTGAAAAAAATCATGATTCCTATACTTTCCTTATTTGTATACAGATAGAAAAGTAAAAATATTTATGCTTACCGCATTATTTTTTTGGGGAACTTTTTTATTTTAAGCAAAAATCGGCAAAGTTTTTTAGCTGTTGCTCAGGGCTCAGGACTTTTCTAACTGTATATATCTTATAAAACTTGAGAATTGTTTATTATTTTGTTATAAAATTATTATATTACTGAAATTTGAAATAAAAGTAACTGTACTATTATGACTTAATTAAATATTAAACATAAATATATAAAGATATAGAATTTGAAAAAAAATATTAATTATGTTCCAATTCACCGAACTTGTATCAACAGAAAAGAGATTAATAACAAATAGTGAAAAGTCACGATAGGTTATATAGTTTTTTTTTTAAGTGAACGACTATGTTGCGAAGAACAGATTGATTAATTAATATATGACAAGCCACGGCCTCTGATATCTGACAGGTGACACAAATAAAATGTTGAGAGTATTGCTGTGTGTATTAATACATAGATAAAGTAATGTAGTAGGTTAGTTCATGAACAATTTTTATTATTTCATACGAATTTTAAAAATGTATCGGCCTTCACCTTCTTTGAAAATCCACATAATAATTGAATCGGTCATTTTGAAAAGGGGTCACATCCACTTTTTTGACATTTTCACTTTTTGACGATTTTATATTCAGCATGCCTAGAAGCATCAATTCAAGATGAAAACGGGTCATCTTTCAAAATTCTTACCGCCTATTTACAACACACAAAAATCAATTTATTTTGAAAACGGGTTATCTCCAGGAGATAACCCCTTCTCAAAATGAATCGTGTTTTGTCCCCCACCACCAACGTTTTATTAGGTATTATGGATATTTTGCGTTTCGCGGTTCGGATGATGCAATCTATCCAGTAATCGTTTAGACGTGTTTAGAGACTGTTTAGGTGTCGCGTGACAAAATGTCATCTAGTAGTGAAAGTAGTGAGACAATATCTCCTCTTCCCAAACGCAAGAGAGGTGCTAAAAATACAAACAGTTATAAGCAAATTTCGATTAAAAAAGCAAAAGTTACTGGAAAAGAACACTTTAATCATGTGTAAAAACTTATAGGTCCACGAAAAACTGGAGACCCATGCCGGTGAGTTAAAATACTAGCATTTTATCATAAAGGTCATACTCTTCACGGTGCTTGGGAACCAACTTTAAATGAAAAGTTTATTTACTAGACTTTTTTTTGGTCAAAGTATTTCTGAAGGGCTATAGATTGGCGCAATATATTTTTTAAAATCGGTTCCAGCAGCCGTTTTTGAGAAAACTCGATTTTTAATGAAAAACTTGCGCATTTCACATTTTCTCGGCTTGGCAAAAGTAAATTTCAATGGGAAAATGTCCGCTCTACAAAAAAGCATAAATGACTTTTATCTCTAAAATCAGCCGATTTTGAGTTAAATAAGATCGCAATTTACAAGCAAAAAAGTAAAAAAAAGGTCACAAATGAGATCTCATTTAACACAAAATTGGCTGATTTTAGAGAAAAAAGTCATTGATGCTTTTTTGTAGAGCGGACATTTTCCCATTGAAATTTACTATTGGCAAGTTACAAGCAAAAAAGTAAAAAAAAAGGTCACTTTTTCATTAAAAATCGAGTTTTCTCAAAAACGGCTGCTGGAACCGATTTTAAAAAATATATTGCGCCAATCTATAGCCCTTCAGAAATACTTTGACCGAAAAAAAAGTCTAGTAAATAAACTTTTCATTTAAAGTTGGTTCCCAAGCACCGTGTCTTCTTTCCACTAGTGGCAGCAGGGTCTGGCTATGTTAAAAATCGCAACCGGGCACCAAATTACTGTTTTATTATTAACTTGTTATTACTTAAAATATTATTTATTATAACTATAATATTATTATATTTAAATAATTAATCAATTTGGGTATTTTAAAAATTTTAAGTTTAGTATTTTGTGCAAGTCAGACTGCTGTAAATGGTACTGGAAGGAAAGCTTTAATGAGAACTGATTAAATTGACTTTAACAGTGAATTACATTATTTTTTTTTCAGCTGTCTTCGTAAATGTTTCCTCTCAGTATCTAACGATATGATGGATCAAATGATACAGAAAATAAACAATTTTAAATCCAAAGACGAACAGGACATTTTTCTTCAAGGCCTAATAGATGTGAGTACGCCAAGCAACTGTAAAAAACGAATGTCTGATTCTGAACTTATTACTAAAAGTAAATCCAAAAAGCACAAATTTAAAATAAACACATTTCGCTACCACATTGAGTGTAACAACCGGCAGAATGTTTGTCGTGCAGCTTTCCAGTCTTTTTACGGAATCTCGAAAAAAAGAATTGAGCGTCTCTCTTCTTTAAAAAGTCAACGTCGAACACCTCAAGACAAAAGAGGAAAATCTGCTGGTTCTCGAAATAAACTGATTCCAGGTGAAGTTTGCCAGAAAATCCACAACTTTATTGACAATATCCCAGTGAATCAAGTGCATTATTCAAATACTATTAAGAAATATTTATCTGCTCAGCTAAATGTTAAGATTATGCATGATATGTTCATGGTCAAGCACCCAGAGTGTCAAAATGTCAAATATACATTTTTTCTCAAGTATTTTCATGAAAACTTTAACTTGTCATTTGGCCGTCCACAGATCGATGTCTGTTCCAAATGTGAAGAGTTAGGAGTAAAATTGAAGGACCCACATCTAAATGATAACGCCAAGCGGGTTGTGGCTGCAGAACTTATGGTACACAAGAGGAGGGCTAAAAAATATTTTACAAAAATGGACGAAATTAGAAAATTGTGTAAAGAAAATGAAAAGGTAGTGGCTCTATGTTTTGATTATATGCAAAACCTACCACTTCCCTTTTTACCCGTACAAGAGGTATTTTACTTTCGACAGTTATGGGTGAATGAATTTTGCGTTCACATCTTCAGTACTGAAAAAGCAACGTTTTACTCCTACCACGAAGGCGAAGGACATAAAGGCCCTGACGAAGTTTGCTCTTTTTTAAATGACTACATCAACAATAAAATTTCAGAAAATGTTGAAGAACTGCATCTATTTTGTGACGGATGTCCTGGTCAGAATCGGAACAACACCATGATACGATTTCTTTTGGCTCTGGTAATGACGAACAAGTTCCAGAAAATTACTATTTACTTTCCGCAACGAGGTCACTCATTTAATGATTGTGACAGGGATTTTGGCACAGTAAAAAGAAAAATTCGTCGCCTCGATCGGATTTTCTCTGTAGGTGAATATGAAGATCTAATAGTTTCTTCATCTAGAAGCAATTAATTTGATGTAAGACATGTTACTCATGTAGATGTAGCTGGTTTCAAACAATGGTGGCCGGATTTCTTTAAGAAGAAAATGTTGTCTACCCGAAGTCTTGGCAAACAAGTTCCAAAAGGAGACAAGGTTAATTTCACTATCAACTCCTTTTACCAAAATTTGGGTGTCGTCTTTGCCAAACCATACATTGGCAGCTTTGTTGAGGAACGTTTTCTTCTTTTAAAAACTCTACAACGAACCATTCCGACAATAGTGGTGCCCAATCCTCAGAATTTTCCTGCATTCCGATAAATGTTAAGAAAATTGAGGATATAAAGAAGCTTCAGCAATATATTCCAGATAAATACAAGGAATTTTACACCACTATCTGTGAATGGCCGACTACCACCGCTGAAGAAATGGAGGAAAATTAAAGATCTTGTTTTTTGTATTAAAATGTTTTTTATACCACTTTATTTTTTAAAATAAACAATTTTTATATTTCATTTTGATTTTAAATACTTGTTTATTTTGAAAAGGGGTCATCTCTTTTTCAAAAAATGTCAATTTTTAACCCCTTTTAAAATAAAAAATCAAGTTTTTTAATAATTCATGGTCATAAAAGTTCATGTTTAAAGCAAACAATACCTTTCAAAAAATTATTTTCAAATAGTATTAAAGATTAAAGGTTTTTTATCTCTCCTGTAAAATTTGAAAAAGTGGATATGATCCCTTTTCAAAATGACCGATTCAATTCATTTTTTAAACGAAAAGGAATGGCCAGAGTCGATGTTATTTTTTAAGGGAAGCAAATTTTAATGTAAAAAACTTACCAATAAATATATTAAACGTATTTTCTTGAATCGTTTTAATAACATAAATTAAAACTTTGCTTACATACAAAACAAACTAAATGTACTATATTAAAACTTAACAACACTATAAATATTTTACGAGCCACGTTTGTCATTATAATAATTAGTAAATGCGATAAACAAACTTTCTGAGTTCTTAACTGTTCTAATATTGCATGACCAGGACAAATTAAAGTAATTGGATATAATTTATTAATGAATTAAAAGAGAAATTATACTTTTTTTTTAATAAACCTGGCAATTATGTATCGAAGGTATCAGACGCACCTCTGACAGCAGTCGTTAGATATTGATAGACTTCGAACATTCGGAATAAACAAGATGTCGGAACTAAACGCTGATGTGAAGTTTGTGCGATTTTTTTTTAAATTAGGCCGTGTTGTAGGAATTATTCCTTTGTATACAAATAAATCGAGCATAAAAAAGAAACTGATTTCGATTTTGTATCTCTCAGTGTTAACTCTAATACTTTGCAGTGTATTTATTTTATCCGTATGGGATCGTCAAGTTATATACAAAACAATGAAATTAACAAACGAGGTCGTAGATTTTCTAGTGATTTTAACAAATTTTGTTTTTATTTTAACAATTCGAATTGGAAACATACTTCACTGCAGATACTTTTCTGATATTACAGAAACATGTGAACAAATAGACTGTTGTCTGAAAAATGCTGGATATAGAGTTTGCAAAAGACATATCATCATACTTTATTTAGAGTTTGCTGGTTTTCATTCACTGTACTTTGGTATACACTTGTACGAATTTTACTACCGACTAATGAATCATCAAGATAGTTTTCTCATATGGATGATGTATTTGCCAAGTTTTATGAAATTATACCATCAGTTGTATGTAATCAATTTGGTTACTAAGATGAACTATATTGTAAATGCAAGGTGAGTTGTAAATATTATTTACGTTTTAGTTATACACTTTAAAATGCTGAACTAAGTGTGACACTTGCAGATAAGGTCGGAAATCTAAATACAGTGTGGAATAGTCAGATGGAATAAATTCGGTAATAAATAAATGGGGGCGTGTTTGGAAAAACGCTCGGACACATTGATTGGTATATTTAAGTTGCGAATGTTTTTTAACAAAAACTTTTTATATAGGGTGTGTCATATAACAGTGGCGAATACCAACTTTCTTATTTTAAATACAAGTACTTGTATATTTTTCAATTTTTGGATTCTTCAGAAAATTCTAGATATATTTTTAGTTCTATGTACTATACCTAACTGTTTTGGAAATATTAGGGGAGATCAGGGTTGATTGGGCACAGGAGTTGGTTAGTACATTTGCGGAATTTCGGAACTTACATATATTTTAAAGGTTTTTGGTTAATTATTTTGAATAACTCAGAAACTACAGAACGACTTTATTCTAGAATGGCAGGATACAAAATAAAAATATGATATCATCGTACATTAGGTTTTTATAATAATGCGTTGGGAAAATACAAAGATATAAAAGATTAATACTGGTAAAATACGATACTGGTAAAAACAGATAAGTGATAAAAATAATATTCAACAAAATATCAGTCTTTATCTAACAATGATGCTCTTCACAGTAGTGGCGGTTTGCCCGTAGTAGTATAATAAACCAAAAAAAAAAACTTACATATTTTATATTTTCCTCAATGTTTATTATTTTATTATTTTATCTAATATTCAGCGCAAACTGCGTTTTCACGACACTGGACGACCGGGCGTTAAGCGACGTTCCTTGAATTCCGAAATTAAGTGGAATATGGGCACAGTAAATGTGTGCTGCTGTTGTTTTCTCTCTCATTACGATCCTGATCGTGACGTGCTGTACCCATGGCACAGATTACCTAGACCAGGGGGTCGATTCTCGACTTGTAGGAACCTTTTCCTATAGGAATTTGTGACACTTTCTTATATGTAGGAAAATGTCATAAATTTTCGATGTACATAAAAATGTCAAAAATTCCTATAGGAAAATATTCCTACAAGTCGAGAATCGACCCCCAGATACGAATGTACGCAGTGGCATCTTTACCGGCTCCCTCACAAAGGCGATGTCGGTTTGGCTTAAGGTGCGCGTTCGTTGGACCATGATAATAATTTATTTATTGTGATTACGAAAAAACATTAGTTGGACCATTGGAATAGTTAAGAAATAAAACTACAAAGAAAAGTAACTTTTTTTTATGAAGCAGTCAAAAATATAATGAAAAAAAATCAATAATATGTATAAATGGGACAAAATTTTAAAAATTTAAAAATTTAAAATTTTAAAATTTTTCTTTTGGTTTTGTCTGACTTTTTCGAGGATTTCAAATCTCTGTTTGCATATTTAGGAGTATAAAAAATTCTGAGTCTTATAACTCAAAAAAAAAATTATTCACTCAAAATGATGACACAAAAGATAATATAACATAATAATTAATATAAATTTATGAATATGTAATACTTATCATCAATTATTACTAAAAGTAAAGTAAACAAATGGTAACCCACAAAGGTATGACCTGTCCGTGGGTGATTCCATTTTTGCTTGTCTCCAATTTTTAATGTATTAAAATACAATTAATATATTATACAAAATCACAATAATATTCTACACACAAACATATTTAAATAATGTAGTATAAATTATGTAAACACTAAGGCGTAATTAAATTATGAATCACTTTTCTATCACATTTTAATATAAAAGTTTTAGCTTTTTTGACTGTTATATTGTTCTACAGAATCTAACTCTATGGTTTGTAATGGAGTATAATTATAATCTCTAATATACGGGTTCATAATTTAATTACTATAAGTTTATATTATTCAAAAAATTCAGACAAACCTATTGATTAATTAATTCAAAAACATCCAAAACCCATTTAGTTACATTTTTTTTTATTTTTATATACTATCTAGCTACTTTAAAATTTATTTAGGCTTTTTATTGTTACTTAGATTTCCCACTTTTAAAAATTTATTTTCTTTGGAACCCACTCCTGATGCAGAGCCAAGCCTGGTTTGGTATCGTTTCTTCTGGTCTTCTTGAGTTTGTTCTTTAATTACCTCTTCACTTTCTTTTGTCCTCTACGAGCTTGTATTTTTCTGAGTAATCTCTAAAGTACTCTCTGTGAATACAACTTCTTCTATTTCACTCTCTATTTGGCTTGGTGGTGAGAAATGTTTGTCTGACTTTTCTTCTCTCTCGTTTAATGTAATGGTGTACATTTTCGCAAATTGGCAAGGATGACCAAATTCTATTTTGCTCATCTCAAAAAGGTATGCGTTAGAAATTCCAGGCTTAATTGACAAACTATCAAATATTTTTTCTAATTTGAAAATATAAAAGAGACATTTTTCGCTGGGAGATTTTAAATTGCCAAACACCTTTTCTTCAGAGTCGTATGCTTTAAAATGCGTTAACAAGTTAGAATTGTTAAGTAAATTGCATTCTTCTGAGAAATTTACGCAAATTTCGCAGGAGTGGATATATAAAGATTTTTTGATTAAATAACCACATACATAGTTAAATGCATTTTGAGTGGTCAACATTTAGCTCCCTGTAGTCACATTCAGAAATCGTTATTGTCCCAACTGGTTGTTTTGAAATATATTTAATTTTCATTAAGCGGAGAACTTGTTTTCCTAAGGGAAAAACAAATCCTGGGATTCCTTTCCAGTGTGTGCCCTACTGCCGCTAGTGCCCACGAGCCACCACTGCTTCACAGATAAATGCCGGGAAACCCTGACACATCAGTATGCCGGTTCCTACCAGGTAGAACGAAAGGGAAAGCTACCAGTGGTGTAAGCATTTCTTAACTCCTCCCCGATAAAGTGGAAGACTGGGGGTGGCTTGGTTGGCTAAGCTTCCACAGTGGTTTTTGTACTTAATCTCATTTGTTTCGTGTAAAGATATGAGTAACAAGTTCGATAGTAACATAATAACGGAATAGCGCTTTTTGAAAGTTTGGCCTGTTTGACCAATATACAGTTTTGGACAACTACCACAATTTAATTTATATACCCCCGATTTACTATTAGGATTAATGTTACCCTTATTGTTTTTAATATACTTCCCAAGCGTATTATTGGTTTTAAAAGCTACGTTAATATTTTGGTTTTTTAAATATAATGATACCTTTTCACTAGGAGCTCCTATCTATGTAAGACTCTTATATCTGCAATTTTGATCTTTAATTATGGGATAAACTAGTTGAATAGCATGTTTAAAAAGTTTTTTCTCTAAAATGTTGTCTACTAACTTTGAATTAAAATTATTGTTTACTGCGATTTAATTCTTTTGTGAAGTTCTCTTTGGTAAGGGGGATACTAACTAATCTATGGATCATACTATTGTATGCTGCCAGCTTTTGTTTGTATGGATGAGATGAACTATTATTTATTGTAATATCAGTATGTGATGGCTTATGAAATATCCCAAAACTATGGCCTTTATTAATTTTAATAATATTTAAGTCTAAAAAATTAATTAAATTATCCTTCTCTGTGTCCATATTAAATTTAATATTAGGGTGTATAGTATTGATAAAAACTAATAAAAAATTTAATTGTCTACTAGTACCAGTAAAAGCAATCAGTATATCGTCAACATATATATGCCAATAAAGACAATAATTCCTATTATTAAAGTTTCATCAAATTTATATGGGACCCAGAAGTACTCCTATTGCAACAAAACAGAATCATTAAAATCGGACAAAGTGTTAAAGAATTATTGTTGAATGTACACCAAAAAAATATGCCGATGAATTGAGAACCTCTTTCTTTTTTGAAGTCTGTTAAAAAGTTGTTTTAAATTAATTTAAATGTGCTAATTGCATGCACCCATTAGAATATTTATATTTCTTTTAGAAATTTCCAATTTTCTTTATTTCATTAACGATAAAGTCATGTAATTAAATTAATTCGTAGGTAATAATATTAATAGTTCATTTAATCAAATTAAACCATGTACCTACCAACTATACTTTACTGATCCAGCATAGCGTGACCATCGAATATTAGAATAAAGAGTATAATTTTAATGAAACATTACAACAATTATATTTAACCCCCAGAGTAACTAACAAAACATCATTTACTTCTGTCATTGTTCGTAAAAACTCCAAACCAAGATGAGAAGAATTAAAGCAGACGTGAATTTAACAAGAAGATTGTTCAGATTTGGAAAATATGTTGGAACTGTCCCCATATTCCAAACAGAAATGACAGCATTAAAAAAGTTTTTATCGATGTTGTACCTAATAGTACTTACTTCTTTAGTAACGATTCTATTTCTATTATCAGTATGGGACAGAACTCGCATGTACAAACATATGAAACCTCTCTACATTATCGTTGATTTCTTGGTAATTTTCATATCGTTTCTTAGCATAATAGTATCGAGAATGAAAACCATTTGCAACTACACGATTTTTGCGAAACTTTTTAAATTGACGACTTTAGTTGAAAAATGCCTTCGTAAGCTTGATTTTAAAGTCAGCCAAAATTTTGTTAAGAAACTTTATATGAGAATAATTGGATTGCAAATTATGTACGGCAGTTTCCTCATTCTAAATATTTTTAATAGGCTTTCAACAGGAAAGTCATTTTTAATTTGGGTTATGTGTGTACCTGATGTTATAACGATGTACAATCAACTGTATGTAGTTAATATGGTCACCAATATAAACTATGTTCTTACGCTAAGGTAATTTATAATCTATACCAGTGACGACTTGTGATCAAAATATTGGGATTTCACAATGATAGAATATACAGGGTGTTTCAAAAAAGTATGTCATAAATTCATCCTCAGATAGATTACCAAAAAATAAATGGATTTAACTATATTTGCCTATACATTCAGAAAAACGTTTTTTTAAAGTTTAATGTTGCAATTTTTTCTTCGAAAT